CAACCCTGAGCCGGTGAGATTTGAACCGCTGAACTGCTGATCTAGCAGTAGCCTGCAGTGCTGCATTTAACCACTGCGCCACCTCGGCTCTCAGATGAATGGCTATTCATAAATAAATGTATAAAGTTTGCTTCCCAGCTGGAACATTGAGAAACGTATTGAGTTTCAGATGTGACTACCTGTATTTTTGTATGCAGACAATCGTATCATATTCATGTTGGAAGCACCCAGGGGCTTCTGGGTTGAAAGGATTAGCCAGTGACGTCACCATTGCCCAAGACTGATGCCTAGTTAGGGCTCCTTTCATGTCCCCATTAATGTGCCCACCAAAGTGGAACCTATCTATCTACTTGCGAATGCACGCTTTTGAACTGCTAGGGTGGCAGGAGCTGGAGCAAAGGACAGGAGCTCACTCCATCCCACAGCAACGCTCGGATCTCAAATATGGGTTTGCTGCTCGTCAACCCAACATCCTAACCAGGCATGCAGACAGTGCATGAGAATGCAAATAATTTGCAGTGAATATTAGGGAGACTGTATGAGTGGTGCAGTGGCCTAGAGGCAGAATTCCCACCTCAGAATCGGGATGCTGTGCGTTCAATCCTAGGTAGCAGCAATGTATGAAGCAGTGTAAGAGTGAGGCCAAAACAGAGATGAATTAGAAGGAAAGACAGATAGGGAGAGATACTGTGAATGACATTGATTAAAAGCCAGTTTTGTTCTTGTCATATGCATTTGCTTTCTTTGACTTACTACTTCTCACTTCATTTCTCTCTGCCGTACATAGTTTAACCTAAAAGGGGATACCGTGATGGTATTCACGTATGAAAATTGTGATGCCGAGTCTACAGAACCGGATTGTCAATACTTCCTCCCAAATCTATATCAGTTCCTTGCTGGACTTTGATTTCAGAAATTTGGAATAGATACCTGATGGTTGGTCTCCCATTGGGGCTGCCACCCAGCTTGTCTTCCAGCTCATGTCCACTCAGGAACTGGTTGAGGTCCCCATTCTCCATGTACTCTGTGATCATACACAGTGGATCGTCCCGCACACACACACCCAGCAATCTCACAATGTTAGGGTCCTTCAGGCGAGACATGATCTTCACCTCCTTCAGGAAATCATTCCTGCGTGGACAAAAGACAGGGACAGGGAGATGAGGAAGGTAGTTGACAGGTGTCAAAAGAGGACATCTTGGGGGGGGGGGTGTCAGATGATTTAATTTGTTCCCGTTTTTTTTTTTTCCTCAACCATCCAAAATCCCCTCATTTTTGCCACCAAAGCACCTTGGCAATTTGTAACAGGGCACAATACAGTCTTCCTGTGAATGTAAAGATATTGATTATGTGCCGTCAAATTGGTGTCAACTCTTAGATAAAGGTAAAGGTTCCCCTTGCACATGTGCTGTTGTTCCCGACTCTAGGGGGAGGTGCTCATCTCCTTTTCAAAGCCAAAGAGCCAACGCTGTCCAAAGACGTCTCCGTGGTCATGTGGCCGGCATGACTAAATGCCAAAGGCACACGGAACGCTGTTACCTTCCCACCAAAGGTGGTTCCTATTTTTCTACTTGCATTTTTACGTGCTTTTGAACTGCTAGTTGGCAGAAGCTGGGACAAGTAACGGGAGCTCACTCTGTTATGCAGCGCTAGGGATGCGAACCGCCGAACTGCCGACCTTTCTGATCAA